CAGGATCGTGAGTTCCTGCGTCCACCAGTATGCCTGCCCACTTCTCCGTGGGCCAATCCGCGCCCTAGGCATGGCGGCGCTGCAGACGACGTTGATGTCGTCCGCGAAAAGGTCCGCCATGCCGTCGGCATCCCCAGCGACGGCGTCCGGGACCCCTGCCCAGGCCCGCACCGTCGCCGCCTCCTCCGCCACATCCGGCTGCAGGCGTGCGAGCACCCACCGTTTGAACGGCGAGCCGCCCGCACGGGGGCCCACTGGGGCCCCTGGGGATGCCGTGGAGACCTCGTACCGGACGTATCGGTGGTCCGATAGGGTCTCCACATCCGCTTCCACCCGCCAGCCCCGGATACGGGCCGCGAGCGGCGGGGTGGCGAAGGACACGTCAATGAGTGACGTGCCTTGCCACCGGACGCAGGTAGGGGTGGTTCCTCGGTTGAGGATCTGGAGACCCAGGGCAAACACCCAGGCCTCCAGAACCCCACCCCTGACGTCGGTGCGGGGGGACCCCCACGCGGTCGATTTTGCGTTGAGGTCCGCCGCCACCAGCACCTGACGAGGGGCCGCGCGGTGCACGACCCCTTCAACCGCAGCCAGAAACCGTTCGAAATCGGCCCTGCTGCGGTTGGGGGAGAAGTAGGTGGACACCACCACCACCTCTCCCCATCGTGCCGCCACATACCCCTCCCCCCTCTCCACCATCACCAGGGCAGGGCCTGCACTCGCTGCCACGATGGCAGCCGAGCCATCCGCAGCCCCCATCCACTTGTCGGACGGGGGGATACGGTGCGGCTCGGAGACCACCGCAAGGTCGACCCCCCACTCCGCCATCGTCTGGCACAGGAGATCCTGTGCCCCGGCGGAGCGGTTAAGGTTGGCCTGGAGCAATTTCCCCAATGTCCTACTGGGCATCGTTGACGGACATTGGGGTCACTTCTGGGGTCGCCTCTGGCGTGGCGCGGGGGGCCGCTTTTGGTGCGGCATCAGGAGCCGCTGCCGGTTTCGGCAGGCGGCCCTTGACGGGAGGGGGCTTGCAGCTAGCCCCCGCCATTCGGTGCCCGGCTGGCAGGCCTCTGTCGGCGCATAACGCGCCAGCCGACTCCGCCTCCGATTCAGCCCGTAAGCTGGACATTGACCCGGCTAAGGACTGACAGTCGGGACCGAACGTCAGGGTCACTGAGCTCCTGCGTGACCCCTCCGGCTGCACCTGACCAGACCTGCTCCTGGTCCTTATTCTTTCCTCCGGCTGTGCGAAACCCATTCCTTTCTCTACAACATCCTCATTCTCCGGTCTCTCCAGACCCTCCACAACTCCTTCCTTCCTCTTCTCCTTACTCTTTAAATTTTGGTTTTTTGTATTTGATGTCTGCATTGTTATTCCCACGATTCCCACCCGGGATGCCCAGGACGCCAGCCGATCCACTCCGGGTAATTTTTTATAGAGGTTGTCTTCCTCGCGACCACTGCCCTCCGTAGAGAGTGGCAGCCCTCGGCCCCGCTCAGTGCGGGGTTGCGAGCTCTCCCCCAGCTCGGCTGCCGCTACCCGGGCTACCCAGGACGCCAGCCGAGATCCCCACTGGGTTATTTTTTAGAGAGGTTTTCTTCCTCGCGGCCCCCACCCTCCGAAGAGACTAGCGGCCCTCGGCCCCGCACTACGTACGGGGTAACGAGATTGTCGGCTATTAGACACCTCCGTAACAGCACCCTCAGTGGGAGACATTACGCAGGCGCCCGGGATGCACCGTCCCGGACCCATTTCCGTTCCCCTATCATAACTGACCAGGGACAGGAAATGGACCGGGCACACGAGGAGGTTTCCGACGTAGCACCCCAATCTAGTGAGTGAATGGTGACCCAAATTGCTACGGTACGTTTTGTGTGTCAAGAGTGATGCCGGATAACGTGGCAACCGCGATGGTATCCTAAAGCGAAACTTACTGAGGAGCATAGGATCATCAAATATACCATTCAAAATCTTACACAAGAAAGTTATATCAAGTGTCGAACGACGATCAGCCAGCGTCACCATATTGAGAGTATTTAGGCGTTCCCTGTACGGAGCCGTTCTATATCTACCATGCAGAATTAGACGCGTAAATCTTCTTTGGATTGCCTCTATACGATCTTTGTGAATTTGATAATTTGGGCTCCAGATCATAGAACAATACTCAAGTTTGCTTCTAACCAGCGAGTTAAAAAGAAGTTTCTTAGTGTATTGTCTTTTAAATATTTTGGCGTTGCGGAGAACAAATCCCATCATTCTACGTGCCGACCGACATATATTATCGATATGTTCACTAAAACGGAGCTTCGAGTCAAAAGTTACACCCAAATCACGAACTGAACTCTTTTCCTGCAGCAAAATGTTGTCAATATGATAATAAGAGTGGGTAATTTTACGTTTTCGAGTGAATTTAACATGACAACATTTATCTGTATTCAAGTGCATGCTATTAGTTGAGCACCAAAGCACCAATCTATTCAGATCTTCCTGCAAAGCCTCAACGTCTAGGACATCATGGATGTTACGCAAGAACTTCAAGTCATCAGCAAACATAAAATATTTGGAGTTTAGAAAGCAATCTTTTACGTCATTCAAAAACAAATTGAAAAACAAAGGCCCCAGAACAGACCCCTGAGGGACACCCGATGTTGCTAAGTAAGGATGTGAAGCATATCCCTTGACTACTACACATGACTGACGACGACTCAAATATGACGACATTAAATCCAAAAGTGGCCCACCCATCCCATAGAGAGATGACAATTTAGTCAACAGTAACTGATGATTTACCCTGTCAAAGGCCCTTGAGAAATCAGTATATATTACGTCAACTTGCATACGAGCATCCACAGATTCAGAAAGGTGAGTCACGAAATTTGCCAGATTAGTAGCAGTTGACCGTGAACGTAAGAATCCATGCTGCGATTCAGTGAGGAGTTGGTTTACATGACGCAATATAACTGGATGTAAAAGCAACTCAAAAACCTTAGAAAGGACACAGAGTATTGATACAGGCCGATAATTTTTTACATCCTCTACTTTTCCCTTCTTGTAAACAGGGACTATTCTAGTCCGTTTCCAAACCTCCGGAAATACCCCAGACTGTAGAGATTGATTATATAACATACACAAGGGCAACGATAACGAATCTGCACATCTGACAACAAAAAGCGAAGGCAAATTGTCAGGTCCTGCACCTTTATGTATGTTCAGACTCTTTAACTTCTTATGAACATCAGCCTTAGAAAAAGTTACACTGCAAAGCGAATTTACAGACACACTCGGAACTATAATAGCCCTAGAAGGAGACTTATCATATATTGACGCAAAAAAATCCGCGAACAAATTACTTATATCCATTCCCCCAGAAGCCACTCTATCATCTAATGTCATTTTAGACGGATATGCGTTTAGCGGTTGTTTAATATTTTTTAGATGAGACCAAAAATACTTTGTGTTTTTAGCTATGCTACTTTCTATCAAATTAATGTATTTAGAATAACAATCTTTAATTAATTTATAAGATTCTCTGCGCAATGATTCAAAAGCAACTTTATCTAGTGGATTTTTATATTTTTTAACTCTTAGTCTAAGTTTGTTCTTCTCTCTTAATTGATGTATTAATTTCTTCGTGAACCAGGCAGGGTATTTCTTATTTTTATGTGTTGATTTTGGTACATGTTTCTCAATTATTATGTTAAGCTTTTTATAAAATAAACCTATCATTTCATTTATATCCACACAACATGAAAAAAGTTCTTTCCAGTTAATGGAATCCAGTTCTTTTGTTATGCTACAATACTCTGCCTTATGAAAGTTGTATTTCGGTTCCACTTTATTCTGAAGAGTGTCATTCTTCTTTGATTTAACAATTATGTTAAGCGGTGGATGATGTATATCCACGACACTAACAGGGTTCTTATTCTCTGACACTTGAAGATCACCAAAATTTTAAAAAACGAGGTCAAACAATCTGCCATTACCATTAGATATGGAGTTGAACTGCTTAAGAGAATTTTCCTCAACAAAATCTATTAGTTGAGTTTGCAAATTGCAATTACTTGCAGGATAAAGAAAGTTCATATCAGGAATAGCAGACCACGCGATATCACCCATATTGAAATCGCCCACCACTATTACATTGTGAGCTAAACCTAATATGTTGCTCGCGTTTACAGTGAAACAATCGAGTTTTTCCTTTCTTACAGGCAGCGGCAAATACACTGCGCATATTGCTAATTGGTCAGATTTGCTATTGACACTCAGATTCAACGATACCCACAGATCCTCACAGTCACTTTCCCAATCTAATTGACGAGACGACGATATGCTAGTTTTTACTGCTATTAGCACCCCACCCCAGTTTCTGTGATCGTTATTTTTCTGCACTCTATCTCTTCTATACACTACATAACGAGTATCAAAAATCTCACTGTCAAACACACTATCGTTTAACCAACTTTCAGTAAATACAATAACATCATAATTATTACTAATAACTTTTAACTTAACATCTATAGTTTTACTACGAAGGCCATTTACATTTTGGTAATAAATGCTTACATTATTCATTTTTGACAAAAAAAAATCAAATAAAAGACTAGAAACAAAGAATGATATTCTACTTAAGTAAATCTAACTGAGCTGTACTCTTAACTAATATATGATCCGACGATTCAGACTTCCGCATAAAGACACGCCCATTTTTGACCCACACAAATTGATAGCCCAATTTTTTGCTTGTAATCCTGGCAGCAGCATGTAGCTTTTTCATCTCGGGCGTTAAATGGTCCACGACGTAGATGGGTTTGCTTTCTCCACCAATACCGATGTGACTGGTGTTTAACTTGTCCTTTTCATGTTTTTTATTGTACTTTATTACACCAGCCATAAATGTATCTCTAATAAGCGGACTTGCGAATTTAACAACTATTGAACGTGGTCGTTTACTGTCAGAATTTAACTTTGCTATACGGGAACATTTGTGTATATTATTTATTTAGATCTCACTACCAGTGACAGCACCTAACTGAACTACGATGTTTTCTAAATTTTCAGTTTTGTATTCGGGTACGCACTGAATTTCCACATTACTCGTTCTAGAATATTGTTCCATGACATTTATACGACTGTTGAAATCGGTCAGCTTCACCCTCATTTGCATGTTTTCACGTGAGAGTTCCTTGATTTCTTCACATCTAATTTTGAGCTCTTTTTTTAAATCATCCTGTTCTTGACTCATATAATTTAAGGAATTTTTCAGCCCACTTATTTCTTCAAATATCTCTTTGGTCTTCGTTTCCATAAGAACTGTAAGTCTCTTTTCCAACTTTGCCAGCAGGTCGTCTGAAGCCTCCTGAATTAAATGCCTTATACTCTCGAGGGTAAACACAGTAGAGGGTAAGGCTGAAACAGTGGACGCTGAAGGTATGACACGACGAATAGTAACATTGGACTTATCACTGTTCTCCTCACCACTAGTAGGCAGTCCTCGTACAGGGGTATCTGAATTATCACCCCTAGGTGGTTTACTTTGACATGCAGGACAAATCCATGAAGTTTTTTGCTGCTTTGAGAGTTCTAAAAAACGCTTTTTGCCTAAATTTACGCATTCATAATAATGATACACCAGATCGCACTTAGCGCACTCAAGCTTTTCAGGTGTAATCAGCTCCCGTGAACAACCAGAACATTTATAAATATTCTTTGGTTTTGGGTTCATTGTTGCTTGTATATATTAGTTTCAATAACCCGGAGTGATTACTCAAGAATGAATATATTGATAAAACAGGAAACAATAAGCAGAAAAAATCCACTAAACGTGGTGAATTAAACGTAGTGACAACACAGTCCAATCCTTCAAATTGACAATGACAACTGTCATTTGATTCTGATACCTATCAAACTCAAAATATTTCACTGTCACTTGAGCTTGTGACAATGACAACTGTCATTTGCTTTTGATACCTATCAAACTCAAAATATTTCACTGTCACTTGAGCTTGATATTCAGTTGTGCTTTTTATGTGGGTATCCAATAATATAGGATTTCTAACAAAGGCCGCTAAAACAAAGTTCGAAACCTCAATACTTCGTATAGAATTGTTGATCGAAGGTCGTAACAAACCGTAGTGTGGCTCTCAGCCGCTATAGCACGTAGATACATATGCCTTCTTTTGCGCGTTAAGCGCTAAGTCGTCTTGGCCTATCGGTCAAAGCTTCACCACTTACACGGCAGGTCCCACGTTCAAATCCAGCAGAGAACACAAAACCAAATTTGTTTATAATCTTCACCAATGAACACCTCAGATACAAGCTATCACAACGGAGTCTTCACCGCAAAAAGGGCGAAGCCCCGGAGCTCCCAAATAATTAAATTTAGAATATTTAAAATATCTCAAATCAACTTCGACACGTCCGCTCAGTACTGCAATCACCAAAGCGAATCGACTCGACCAAATATTTTAACTTCTAGATGCCGAAAAACGCATAACATGAAAAACCCCGTATTAGGTCATTACCGGATTATTCGCGGGGGACGTCGGAATATAAACAAAAGATGACTTTTTGAATAAGTGCTAGTTTACTATAAAATTTACTTACATACGTTAGATATTTATGTAACGACTCGATTTAACTTCACACATTTTTGTGAAAATTGAGGCTCATCTGTAGCCTTGCCCCGTTGGTAAAGTCTCTATATGTCTTAGTAAATCAATCGTTTAGACACCGCAAGGTACTTAATAATTACTGCGATATTAATTTCCTTAGTGAAGTAACAAGACTAAGGTATATACCGTCTTTAAATACTAACTAACTAAAAAGTGTGAAATAAGAAAGCTAAATTTAAAAATCAAAAAACCCGACTGCTTAATTATACTTCAAATAAAAACTGAAAAGAAAAAAACAAGTCCAGTAGTCTATAATTCTGTTAATAAGGAACAAAGCTTCTTTAACAGTCGGGACCCATTATTGAAAAATATTATGTATTCTTGAATATCTAATGGGTCCCGACTGTTAAAGTAGCTTTGTTCCGTATTAACAGAATTATAGAGTACTGGACTTGTTTTTTTCTTTTCAGTTTTTTTATATTAATGTAAATGTGTTTTTTCATTATTTTTGTAATACTGGAATGGTTAATAAAAAACTCTCTCTCTCTCTCTCATAATATTTCCAATTCTACATAACCACATCATAAAATTACTGCAATGGATGTTAATACGTTTGTTGATAGCAGATTTGTCAGCGGAAACGGAATATCGTATGTCTTCAATTGAATTTATAATAGAGCAGTAATCATATTTTACAATAGCTGAGATACTCGTAGATGCTGATGCGTGTTGAAAGTCGTTTCACTAACTTAAGCATTTGCATAAATTCCTAAATTTTTTTGAAGTATAACCTCTTTTCGTAAATGGAAAAATCCTATGGAATAGATGAAATGGAAATGCGTCACGAGCGTCACTCGAGGGTAACTCAGCGAAGGCTGAAACTCTACAATCGTTACGAGCGTCACACTCCACAATATTAATAGATGCGCGCGCTGCTCTATTCCCCCATGCCTTATGCAAGCCCAATGTTAGGTTATTTAAAAAAAAGGTTCACTATAGATGTGTGTCCGCGCACACATTTTTTTTTCTGCTTATCTACCACCAAGTTCTCGATTCCGCTAAGCTAAACTAAGAATCAGGTATCGATGGTGTTTCAGTAGTTTTGGTTTTTGGCACAGTTATTGTTACTAAAACAGAAAATCAGAAAAATCTTAGGTTTATTTTGACGACCTCCGTGGCTGAGTGGTTTGTACGCCGGGTTTCATAATGTCACCGACCCGAGAGGTCTCGGGTTCGAATCCCGGTGGGGGCAGATGTTTGTGTGATGAATAAGAGCATTTGTACTCCAGTCATGGATGTTTAATATGTATTTCTATATAAATATACTTATTTAAATACAATATATGTATCCTATCCGTTACCCTAGCATCCCATAACACAAGCCTTACAATGCTTACTTTGGAGTTAAGCTAATTGGTGTGAGTGTTGGAAATATTTATTACTATTTATTTATTTTTCGAAATAAAAAAATAACTCCTTGTTTATGAGAAGTAGCGTCATAAAAATAAAAATATATTATAAAATAATATTTTCTAAGTTCCCTTCATTAAAAAGTTACATAGTGCCTCTGCTTTACGAATTCAATGTCGCTTAAGCGAAAATCACTTTGCCCACCATACATTTCTTGTCAAGCAAATATCAAATCATACGCCAAATAGATAAATGAACCCCTGCGGGTTAGCGCCATTGGTTAAAAAATAATAATAATTTAATAATAAAAATAATGATTTATTTATTCTCACATAAATTGATTACATACTTGAATATAATGTATTCCCTGACCCCTATAATGGGATAAAAACCTGTGTGACAGGGGTCAGTGTATGTCCGCGGGAGGGAAGAACTAGCCCCGCATTATAAATGGCTTCCCATCGAGTTAGGGCATACTATCCAGGCCAATCTGCCTGATGATGTCCCCAGAGAGAGACGGACGGATTCCTCAACGAGTCGAGTCCAGAACGTCCCGCGGTTCGTGCCAATTAGTGCTGCTCAAATTCAGTCTTGGTCTTGCAGTCGTGGTCTTGTTCTTGCATTTTTGCAATACCAAGACCAAGAACAAGACCGCGTATTTTTAGCAAGACCAAGACCAAGAACAAGACCGCGTATTTTTAGCAAGACCAAGAACAAGACTGACCGTGCAAGACTTGAGCAAGAACAAGACTAATCCGGCATCTTGCAGCTAGGACTTAGCGCTATTTCACGGAGTTCAGTGACAGTTCGGTGTATAGGTACGCTTAGGAATTCTATGAGACGCAAAAAACTGTATCAAAGAATATGAAAAACTGGAGCTATGCGCATTACGACCAATACCATAAACATACATAGCGAATAAAAAAATATCCATTAAAATCAAACAGAGTGCATGCATACATAGTTTTGTTTTAACCATCGGCACTTTGATAATGCGGCATCAAAGGTTTTGTACTGACTTCTCAAAGAAATTTGCCGCTTTTCGGAAGATACACGCGCCGGCGGATTCTATTGAAATCAAATACCTACAACAATCGTTGCCGCCGTGCCGAAATCACAACATTTGACACTATTTGATTGCCGCCACAGGTCCTAGGTATACTCATGCTAAATTCTAATTTCGTGCCGTGCCGTCCCACTCACGCTAATACTATTTAATATATGAGCGAGCGAGACGGTATGACACGAACTTCGATTTTCGAATTTTAGAGTACAGGTGTTCCAAAGAATAAATAAGTTTCAGAGTGCTTAGAATGAAAACGAATACATTATACTGATCACGCAAGTAGTATTATGATTTTGTGTTGTATTTTTTTTTTATTGAAATAAATGATAAATCGTAAAATTCTTTTAATAAATTTCATATGAGTTGAATGTTCAATCTCTTTCTAGACAGATATTGTTCTTTAAAATACAGTGAAGTTATTGTAATTAATTTGTTTTTTACATGTTTTAGCACATTTTAGCTTATAAAGCGTAAATGTTTATTAAGAAACAGTTACTCCCATGGAAAACGGCATATAGCTCAGTTGATAACCACCATGGCAGTTGATTTTTCGAATTTCTTATCAAATCTTCAGACATTTATTAATCTGATTGTTCTTTACTATGGCTATGTTAATTCAAGCTCACAATGTTCCAATTCTAATACGTTTTTCAAGGATCTAAAGTAAACTTTAATAAATAGCAATAGTCTAATAGGTAATTGCAAGACTTGCAAGACTCTTGCTGCAAGACCAAGACAAGACTGAGAGCGCAAGACCAAGACCAAGACCAGGTGTATTGGCGCAAGACCAAGACCAGGTGTATTGGCGCAAGACCAAGACCAAGACTGGCTAAGTCTCGTCTTGTTCTTGCATTTGGGCAACACTAGTGCCAATGCACACAAGGGAGTTAGTGCAAGGAGGAGGGTCCGAGATGGCGCTTTCACGGTTGGGGTCTGGGGCAAAGGCTTGCTGATACCCTTCCCCCATCGTGTGAAGATGGAACCGCTGGAGGTGTTTTTAGTGGGTAGTTGCGGCGCGGGGTGAAGTACGCCCCGTGGAGTCCCACATACCCCCACGGCAGGGCACGGTCGTGGGAAGTGCGTAAATGCATTTTCACCTTCCCCAAATCATGTCGCTTCAGCATTGTAAACAAGAAAAATCTTCAAAAACGTACTCAAATCTTCATGAAACATAAACAGATCGTAGCTGAAAAAAAATCTGATTCAAATGATATTACAAATAACTAATTTTCAACCAAAGCGGTGTATAAGCCATTTTACCTTACCACTGTCAATATGCATGTTATTTTATGTTTTAGCAACACGAACTGTGTCAAAATAAAATCATATTAAATCATTGAGACACGATTTTACGTTAGCTCAGCAGAATTGACAACCTGTCTCAATGTTAAATATCATCGGATTGGTTGTATGAAATTCCTCATTGAAATAGTTTATTTCCGTTTCTAAATACTAAACTAAGATATTCACCTGCCGCGATACTGCATTAGGCCGCAGCATCTACTTTCATTTAATTAATCAAAGGCTTAAACTCGGCACTGTGCAGGATTAAGAGAACTTAGTGTGCCAATTTAAGCGGAGGTTGTTAGTGCACTTAAACTTTTATACGAATGCCTGAATAAAGATTAATATTGT